TAGGTGAGTTCTGGTTTTTCTTGATTTTGTTGGTATTAAGTAGTTTTTTCTTGCTTTGATGGTATTGGATAATATTTTCTTAGCTATATAAAGGCATTGAGTAAGATGAATATTATATAGTGGTTAAACTTTTATTTACTTGTATACTATTTGTACATGTATTAGTTAAACTATTGATTTACTAACTTTAAACCCACTTTATACATTTTTTAGATATTAGCAACAACCTTTTTTTTTCTGACCTGATAATTTGCATCATCTTCAAATTCAAAACTTTTAAAGCCTGTCTACTTTACAATAAATGGATCCTCAAGTTTTAGATTTGGATATATTAGAAAACTTGAATGAAGAAGAAAAAGAAACTCACAAAGGGCAGCATTTGATTAGAATTTCTAGTCCATTATCTCCTATTAGCAAACAAATAGTATTTGCTATTAATGATACATTTCCTAATTGGTTAATTGCAGAGCATTATGTTACTCAGTATGGTCACCAAAAAGGATTTGTTGCTATTAAAATTCGCAATAAAACTGATAACAATGGTGGTCTAACAAATTTGTATTATAAATGCGAATTTGGTAGTATATATCAACAAAAAAAATCTGTAAATTTGCAAAGTCAATATAATAAAGATACAAAAAAACTTAATTGCAAATGGAAACTTAATTTGTTGTCAGCGACAGATGTAGTTCGTATTACTAGCTTTTATGATCAACATGTCGAACACCAACTTTCATCTGATATTGTAATTTTTGCTTCAATTAATCGTCGGTTCTCTAATGAGTATTGCAAGAATATTCGTCACTTGCTTGTTGATGATCAGTGTGATTTATCAACAATATGGTCCCTTATATCCGTTAAGTATCCCAACCAGCTTTTGTTAACAAGAAACCTTGCTAATGTTGTGACTTAATTGTGGTGAGAGCATCAAGTGAAAGAAAATGACATGTCTTTACTTCTAACACAACTTTACAAATATAAAGAAATGGATCCTAATTGATATATTAGTCCTCTAATTGATTCTATCAGTAATCGGCTTAGTGAAATTTTTTAGATGGATCCTGATTAATGTGAAAGATGGGTCTGGTTTTGTAATGTAATTATCCAAGACAATACGGCACAAACTAATTATTACAATTTTCTTTTATATCTTTTTATTCTGGTTGATAATTATAACAAAACAAGAATTGCTGCACAGGCTTTAATGCCTGACAAAACTATAGAGTCTTTTCAATGGGTTGTACAACAATTAGAAGAAGCAACTAGAATTTCACCGAAAGTTTTAATTATGGATGAAGATTTATCTATGAAGCATGTTGTGACCTCCAATCTTCCAAACACAAAACATCTGTTTTGCTTATATCATTTAAGTCAAAACATTTTAAAAAATCTTATAAGTAAACTTGGTGACCAATATACAAAATTTATTAAAGACTTTTATTTAACATGTAATAGTTTAGATATAAGCATGTTTGAAGCTCATTTTGCAAACCTTTTAAATAAGTATCCAACAGCATCTTCATATCTACAAAAGTTATTATCTATTAAAGAATCATGGGTATGTACCTATACATTTAAAATTTTTACTGGTGGAATGCAATCCACCCAATAGGTTGAAGGGCTTAATAATCACATTAAATCCACTATAAACAGCACATCTACACTACTACAAGTCATAGAGGCAATTCATCAGTGTATTGAATATGAAAACCTCAATCAACGGTATACTTCATGGTTTCAGGATTAAATTAATTACAACAATCAAATTATATTGCAACATATTTTTCCTCAAATTGTTAAACAAATCAACAAATATTTAACACCAAATTTGGCTGCAGAACAACAAAAACAAATCATTCAATCCACCATATATCGGGCCCAAATACTCTCTCTTGACAATAATAATAAACAAGATGAACAGATAAATTATTAGTAGGACATTGGGTATATACTGTAAATCACTGTATACGATATGTAATATACTCGGGTGCTAACCACAGTATCTATATTAGTCAAGTTTGGTTTTTTTCAAATATGTTAAGTGTCTGTTGTTATACAGTGATTTATGATAATATTTATTTGATAATGAATTAATTCTATACTGTATATTATACTGTTCTATCCAATTTACATAATGTTAGTAATTACTTATTTAATTCTATATATGATAGATGCAGGATTTTGATATTTTACAAGAAATTGCCTATAATAATAACTTCATTGAAAATCTATACGATGTTTCACAATCATATTTAACATCCTTAATTGGTAAAAATTATCATTTGCGGGGTGTGGTGACTTAGTGAAGTGGTCAAGTTGTCGCCCCCAAGTGGCATATCCAGAGTTCAATTCCCACCGATGACGAAAAATCGAATTCTTCTGTGCTTTGATGACTATTTCGGGTGTTGGGATGGAGATTCTGTAATGATGATCAGACTAAATAGGTGCAAGGGGTAATGATCGCCTAACGGATGGCTTATTTCGCAAGCCCTAATCAGAGTGGTAATACAAACTTAGAAGATCTTGGGGCATTCATGTAATAAAAGAGTTACACAAAGTAATACAAACTGATAAAAGGCGGTGTAAACCCATGATAAGTCCCTGGGACCTGTGTAAATCTGTTAGACTTTGTCCCAAATAGGAATCCGCTTGGCAAGTCCCGAGTAGAGAGGTAGCACTACTTTCAACGATTCTGAAAAGTCTGAGAAGAGAACTAATAAGCTGTAGATCTGGACAAGGACTGGGTGTTTGGCGAGTACTATACCAACCAGGCCGCCGGAATCGACCAGAGGAAAAGGGCACAGGCCGGTATCTGGGTTAAGCCAGTAGGAAAGCGGGTAACGTAACTTGTGGACCAAACCGGGCTATCTGGATTGGAAGTTTGGTGAAACAGTGGAAGGGTTCTTGATTGAATGAGTAAGGAGCTGGGGTAGAGTGAACTCTATAAGGGCAGAAGTAGATAACGGTAGCGGTTTCGGCTCGCAAGTACTTGTTCTCGGACTAGGCGTAAGTTACCGAAGCCTAGGTCAGCCTAAATGTAGATATGAAAGGCTCTAGCAGGTTTATCTTGAGGTCAAAGGACTCCTTAAATGATAGAAACCGCTTTAAAGCCCTAAGCCAGCATGTGAAAATAAGGTGGTACTATATATTATCGCTTGAATATAAAAGGGTTGATATATAGACGCAGAGGGTTTAAATGGATAACCCCCCTAGTGGGGTGCAAGTACAGCATCTAGTGTAGAACCTAATGATAGGCAGACTACTTAAATAGGCGCTCAAAAGGCGCAGATATGGCTAGTTGTACCCAACAAATATGTACAGCCGTCAGGATATGTCTGATGGTTAAAAATACTACTAAATATTTAAATAAAGAGCAGCGTGGCAAAGAGGTCACCTTAAAAACAAAAAAAAAAAAAAAAATTATCATTTGCGTTCAGATATTTAAGAAATTTAAAAAATTACAAGCTTGATATCAGCCAAGTCAATTCATTATATAGTATTATTTAAAGATGAACATTATATATGTACCTGCCTTTTACTAGTTAGTCATGGGATTGTATACCAGCACTTTTTTTGTATATTACTTAGTTCAAGTTTTGCAAGGTTCTATATAATGTTATTGCCTATTCGATGGTGTAAAGATGAAATAACTGAATCAGAATAAGCACAAGAACTATTTTTAACATCAAGCAATAATATGCATTTAATGCCAGCTACACATCAATTAAGTACTTCAACAAATATGAATTTGCTTCGTATTGATGATTTTTAAGAAAATGGGCTCCAAGGACATATAGGCAAAAAGCTTCGATTTACCAAAACAATGAGTCTTGCTAAACAAGCTATTATGTTGCAAGATGATGATGAAAATAATAATGAGTTAGATGTCTTGTTGAAAAATTATATTGAGAAAAAAAACTTGAATATGAAAAAGAAATACAAGAATGGAAACTTTGAATTTTTAAGAAGCGTCATAATGCAGGGGAAGTAATAGCTATATAAATTAATAATAAACAGTTTATTCTTATTGAAAATATTTAAAATCCTGTATATTATGTCGGTAAAGATGCATCTCGCAAGAAGCATATTAAAAGCAGTTAAGAGAATTATCAAGCAAAAAAGAATTTGACTTCAAAATCTAGAGTTTGTGGGTTCTGTTATGAACCTAATTACTATCAAAGCATATGTCTGCAAAAAAAATCTAATTCTGAAAAAAAATAGGATCAATAATTGCATTGAAGACTAGTATTTAGTTTTTTTTTAGTATTAGAATTGCATTTAACTTTTTCAACTTTGTCTTATTATTACTGTTAGTTTTAATTATCTTTTTTTAGTATTGGTTAAAATAATATTATATTGAATTTTTTTTTTTTTTATATGTTAGTATATCTAATTGTTCAATTTCTTATTTTAGCATTAATGTAAGTATTGAATTTTTTGCATTAGGTTATCAAGCTATGGAAAACGAAGTTATAAATCGATTCTGAAAGTTTAGAGTATAGTACACTTTGCAATTATAGCATAGTATATATAATGTGTTTCAAATTTTTGTACTAATATATATATATATATATATGTGCATGAGAAACTAAATAAGTGAAGTCATTATTATCATTATGTGATTCAATATATGTACTTTGCTATGGCTGTAGAGTTAATTTGTAATACTGTTTTATATCTTATTGTACTATATTACTCTGTTTGTGTACATATCTTATTGTGCCGATATTACTAAAACTGTTAATTTCCAGATTGACATGCATATTTATTTGGTTGAATTAATGGATAGTAACATTTCATGCATATTTGTTTGGTCTGTAGTCTTATTTATGATTGCTATACGTACAGTACGTATGTATATATATACATACCAGTACATATACATATAACATCATCATATGATAAATTCGAATTTGTCATATAATAAGCTATTCAAGCTGCAACAAGCTGTGATAAGCCAGCTTATTTTGAATACTAGCTACCTCTTTACTCGAGTCTTGCCAAGTAGGCTCTTATACTCTGTAAATTTGCTAGATTTATCTAATAGCTTCGTTCAGGTTTTATATAATTTATACATCACACTACATGTTCCACTATCTCCTAGTACAACATCAGCAAATTTAAAGGAGCAAAATATTGCGAAAGAATTTGCGTTATGAAAAAATTTCACAAATTAGCGCAAAAAATTTCAAAATATTTTGAAATATAATATTTTCGAAAAATTTTGATAAATATTTTGAAATATTTCTAAATTTATTTCGCAATATTGTATTAAAATAATTTCAAAATAATTCAAAATAATTAAAATTAATGAAGAATATGCTAAATATAATAAAATATTAAATGAAATGAATTTTAAATAATTCGAATTTATCCTAGTATATTTAATGTATTTTGAATATATTCAAATATATTCAAATATATTTGAATTAATTCAAATTAATTACAAATTGCTTTAATATATTTGAAATATTTCAAATATTTTTGAATTAAAGAATATTCGTAATTTG